AAAAGAAATAAAAAGTTCACAAATCAGAAATGAAGGAATATAAATGTTCTTATTTGATGATGTTTTCTATGTTAAAAAACTGCAAGAAATCGACAAAGCCTCTTACAACTAATATGTGAACTCAGCAAGGTCACAGGATATAAGACAAACATACAAAAATCAATTATATTTCTACATACTAGCATTGAATACTCGGACCAAAATTAAAAGTACAATATGATCACTTAAAAACAGAGAGAGAGAAGGGCGCCTGGGTGGCTCAGTCTGTTAAGCTTCTGCCTTCGGCTCAGGTCATGATCCTGGGGTCCTGGGATGGAGTCCTGCATGGGGCTCTCTGCTCAGTGGGGAGTCTACTTCTCCCTCTCCCGCTGCCCCTCCCCCTGGCTCATGCTCTCTTGTGCTTGCTCTCTGTCTCTCAAATGAATAAATAAAATCTTAAAAAGAAAGAGAGAAATATTTAAATGTAAATCTGACAAAACATCAACAGGACTTATATGCTGAAAACTATACAACCCTGATGAAAGAATCAAAGAATATCTAAATGAATAGAGAAATATAATGTGTTCATGGATTGGAAGACTCAACATCGTAAAGATGTCAGTTGTCCCCAAATTTATACACAGGTCTAATATAATTCCTATCAAAATCCCAACAAGACTTTTTGCAGATATAGACAAGACTATTGTAAAATGCATATAGAAAAACAATAGAACTAGAACAGCTAAAACAATTTTTGAAAAAGAACAAAAATTGGAGGAATCAGTCTCTTCTATTTCAAGAGTTCATACATAGCTACTGTAATCAAGACTGCACAGTATAAACAGATGTACAGGCACAGAGATGAGTGGAACAAAATCAAGAACCCAGAAAGAGACCCACACTGAACTGACTGACAGAGATTGACAGAGATGCAAAAGAAATTCAAAAGAGGAAGGATAGTCTTTCCAACAAATGGGGCTGAAGCAACTAGGCAGCCAGAGGCAAAACAAAAACAAAAACAAACTGAATTTACATTTCTCACCTTATAAAAAAAATTAACTCAGAATGGATTTTTTTGCTAGGCAAGTAATACGCCCATCAGGGAAAATGCTTGTACATGTTTCTTTGATCACATATGAGGACATTTCCCTAGGACAGAATCCCAGAAGTAGACCCGAAGCATTGAAGGTATGCCAGTATTGTTGATTGGCCAACCAATACCTGTTCCCACCCATTTCTAATCATCTCATGCCTCCCATAACAAACTCACTTCGCTTGCAGCTAGGGGTGGCCATGTGACCCAGTTCTAGCTAAGTAAACATCAGCAAAAGTTTGCTGAGTAGTCCCTAGGAACGTTTTTTTGCTTTCCAGGTAAAAGGGATAGACGTGACTGGCACTGTCCCTTTTTTCCGCCCTGAAAGTGGCTGTGGTTTTTGGAGGGGTGGCAGCCATGTTACAACACTGAAGGAAAGCCTAGAGAATCACCGTGATGTCAGTCCTGCTATCAATGAGTTGCTGAACCAAAGCCAGCAGGAGCTTACCTCTAGACTATTTGTTATGTGAGAATAAACTCCTATTGGTTTAAGCCATAGTATAAGCCTGATTTTCTTTTACTTGCAGCCAAATGCATTCCTAAAGAATTCAGTACTAAAATACTCTCTAAAAAGTCTGTACTTATTTTATTTCCTAACAAAAGTCTGTAAGAGTGTCGATTTCCCAAAACTTTTATTTACTTTGTTGTCATTTAAATGTTCAGCCAAGCTGACGCATGAAACTATTTCACATGAAGAAGAGCATCATTTCATACATTTATCGAACAGATTTCCTCGTCTATGACTTCCTTGTTCCTACCTCCCTTGTCCACTTTTCTGCTGTATTGTTTAGCTTTTTCTTATGATTTTTTTCTTATTGATTTGTAAGAGTAAATTTGTAGATAGCAAAGTAGACTGAGTTGAACTCACATGGAAATCTGTCTCTGCATCTTTATATTATCAACCCAATCCAACACAAGTAAGAAATACATCTTCCCTGACAGGCCAGGCTGACAGTGACAATCCTGACAGTCATCTTCAAGTAGTGCACCACCACGTGGCAATGTGTCAAGAAGTAATTCAACTCGGGCAAAACACCATAGCCCATATTTATTAGTACTTTTTTTTTTAAACAAATCTACACCTAAAGAAAGGCTTATGGAATAGTGGCACACCAGGCAGAGTCCTTAACGTACATCATCTCATTTAACCCTCATATCAAATCCAAGAGTAGCATTTTTATTCCTGTTTCACAGAATAAATGATGAAAGTAAGCTTTTAAAACCAATAGTTTCTTGGGGCACCTGGGTGGCTCAGTCGTTAAGCGTCTGCCTTCGGCTCAGGTCATGGTCTCGGGGTCCTGGGATTGAGCCCCGCATCAGGCTCCCTGCTCGGCAGGAGGCCTGCTTCTCCCTCTCCCACTCCCCCTGCTTGTGTTCCCTCTCTCGCTGTCTCTCTCTCTCTGTCAAATAAATAAAATCTTAAAATAAATAAATAAATAAATAAAACCAATAGTTTCTTTCCTACCACAAAAACTTACAACATTCCAGGCCCCATAAACAAAAACAAAGTGATTAAGTGTTTACCTAAAATTAAAAGTAGGTAAACTATATTGTGCCTATCTAAATAGATCAATGTGCTTAAGCTAGAAACACTGCTGAACCTGTTCAGTGGATTAGGAATCTGAAGAAGCTGTTCCAAAGTCTGGCCATGAAGTTTATTGCCACATTGTAATTGACCAATTTTTCCCCCATTTTTTAAAGTGAGAAGCTGAACTGAGCCCTATTTTAATGCTTCAGCAAGAAAAACCTATTATAGCTAGCCACTCCATCCCAGAGCAGCAAGTATTCGCCTCATCAGTTAACAATCAGCCGACCTGACACTAGAAAACAAACAAAATAAGCTGTTAAAGATAATAAAAGATCGTCATGAAAAGCAATGTAAATAGGTTGAAGAGAACAAGCACCATCCTTGAGTGTACATGGTTGGATTTTGGCTAAACTGACTCTACTTTAAAAAGCCTAGCAGCTAGAGGAAAAGAGAAAGTTGGGGAGGATCCCGCTCTGGGACTCAGATTGGGGGCAGCAGGAGGGCTGAGACCCTGACAAATATTTCCCTCCTTTATGCCACACCTCTCCTCGCAAGAGCTGTGGATTCTCTCTCTGGCAAAGCATCACACAAAGCAATCAATCCGGAGTGGGTGAGAAGCACAGATATCAAACCACCCTCATGCCTCTCACTAAACCTTCCCCAAGAGGACACACCCAGCCCAGAGCTTGCACGCCAGGGCCCCAAGAACTGACAGCTCCCAATGGCAGGAACCTATGTGTTGCCCACTTGGGCCCCAGGGAGACATAAGAGATTCACCTGAAACACCCTCTTTGCATAATTTTTTAGCCAGTTTGTGAGGCACAGAAAAAATGCCTGGGGGAATTTGATTTCTATTTCTACATAAAAGAAAACAAGTCTGTAAACACATAATGTTTATGGTCTACAAAAGTGCAAATGGGTTGATAAATACCCAATCTGAGGATACCTCTGGTGCTTTCTTGCATTTTCCAATGGGCTTGCCCAGTGGTCCCTGCTTGGAAAGAGAGAGGCTTGTTTTCTCCCACCCCATACTGTGGGAGGGAGGGTCCTCAGAAGGGCTGCACACCTTACCCCACTGGTACAGCAAGGGTGATAACACATGGAAAGAAATCTGATTCTTTCCCAAAGTTGGCTGTGGCCAGGGAAGGCTGGGTGAGGGGAGGGTGTCCTGGTGGGCTGCTCCTGACATCAATCCAGGTGTTTTGGGGGCACACAGCAGGAAGAGAGGGAGGCAGGGCTTTAGGCACCAGAACAGAACAAGCCAGATTCCTCAGCCCTTCAAAACCTCAGGACAACTCACTAGAGGGACAGTAAGCAGGGCATATGAGAAAAGGGGATGCCAAGTTTCAGAGAGGGGAAGAGACACAAAGAAGAACCAGAAGGAAAGAGAAGACGGTGTTGGGGTCAAATGTGCTACAATAAAACCAGGCACTGCAGCACAGAGGGAAGGGACACCTGGCACCCTAAGGGCTCTCTGAGTGCCTGTTAGAGGCAGGCCCTAAAAGGGCCCAGGGAGAACCAGACCTTGCTGGCACTCCCAACAGGCTGGTGTCACTGAGACTACACAGTAGCAAAAGGGGGGGACGGCTTAGGCACTGCCCATCCCCCTCCTTCCCCCCCAGGACTTGCACCACCAACTAAAACACCCAGGCACACAGCCTCAGTGGTGCACACCTGCGACACAAGCAGGCGCACAGCCTTCCTGTGTATGAGTGCACAAACACATACACCCTTCCCGTCCATGGACACAACTTATTCAACCTGCCAGCACACACTGCACGCACACACACACACACTCCGTCAGGAGGGAACATACATATAACCCTTCTGCAGGCTCACGCTCAGGCAGACACACACATACCCACTCCACAACCTCTTAGTCGGCTACATACAAAAACTCATGGCCTGGCAGGAAAACCTGGACTCACAACCTCTCTGGTAGGTGCATACACACCCTTACAATCTCAGTTGGTGTGTGCACACACACATAAGTGCGCACTCAGAATCCACCAGGCACATATACACACTCACAACCTGTCAGGTGCACAGCATACTCAGCACCTCTCTGGTAGGTGCACACCCCCTTACCACCTCTCAGTCTCATGCACACACAAAACCTACCAGGGCACACGCACTCACAGACTGCCAGCAAGACACACACACACACACACACTCACAACTTCTCGGTCAGCGGAGCGCAAACCCAAACTCGCAGCCCCTCAGGGTCACCGCCACCCGCTCACAGTCTAGCCCGCGGGCGCACCCCCACACCCACGCACCCTCTGGCGCCGGCGCACCCCTCCCCCAGGCCGGGACAGGCGCACGGCGCCCAACTCCGGCAGCGGCGCGGGGAGTGCGCCCGCCCCCAGCCCGCGGCCGCCCGCCCGCGCCGCAGCTCACCTTTCTCGCCGGCGCCCCGCGCGCGGCCCTCGTCCTCCTTGGGGTTGGTCACCTGGGTGATGATGGCCGGGCCGTCCATGGGTGCGCGGCGCGGCGGCCG